CGAATAGTTGTAAATTGTGGCTTGACGCGCACTACCTTATTTTGAGTCATGTCGAGGTTGAGTATGAGATCCATGTAGGGTTCAGATTGCAGTAAAATTTGTCTAAGAAAGCATTTTAAAAAACAAGACTTGGTGAAATTGAAGGCCTTTTTGTGGGAACTTTAACTTCTAGTCCTAACTCCCCATTGAGAAATTAAGACGATTCATGTTGCAATTTAGGATCTAATAATAGTTTTCCAACGCCTACTAAATTTTTGTTATTATTTACTTATAATTTTATCTTTGCCATATTTTAGTACCAGGCCAATCATACCTGAGAATATTTGCTTATTTTCCGTCTTACATATCGGGTTTACTTGGTCAATACGACCTCGAACTTATTTGCGCTGCTATTCTGTGTAATTTACCTAAATCCTTGCGCACGTAATAAGCACTATTGGGCATTATGTTGGGTGAAGTGGGAAAAGGTTTGGGTCTCGTAGTGCCGAACATTGGTACCGCACGTATAAGGTGAACAAATAGAAGGCTCAAAACAATAAGAAAGTTCTCAGTATTCTAGGAGAGCTGAATGTATCGTTGCATACGGCAATTCATATCCTCGCCTATAGATGACTTAAATAAAAAATAAGAAACTATTTTTTAGGAGTTGCGATGCTGGTCGTAATCTGCGACCTAGCCTAACGTATCAATTTTAAGATTGCTGACGAGACCTTCATTTCTTTTGAAAGTTCATGAAGAAGATATTCGTAGGTTGATCTCACCAGAAGACGACGGCTTAACCCCGTTGTAGTGCAGCCGTTTCACTCGAATACGACCTTCAGGTTGATGCAGTCCACAAAACATCCTCCCTAGTTTCGGGTAAAAATGTTCTGAGCCTTCGTCCAGCAAATGATGGGCATCATTAGAACTGGAACGCATTATTGTAAAGGTCTCAAGTTAACACTATGTCAAGAAGACTATTCGGCTTTAGCGTACCTCATATATATGCATACTCAAAGCTAAAAACAAAATTGAATAGGCTTCGATAAATATAGTACGGTTTGGCTAATTATCTTTTGCTCGAGTAGCAGTTCCAGTTCTGATGATATCCATCATTTGATGGACGAAGGCTCAGCACATTTTGACCCGAAACGAGGTAGGATGTCTTGCGGACCGTGTCAATCTGAAGGTCGTATTGGAGTCAAACAGCTGCACTACAACGGGCTCAGCCGTCGTCTCTCATCTTCATGAACTTTCATACGAAATCAAGGTCTCCACAACAATATTTTCTCAGGAGATTCTTCGAAATCTAGTTACTCTTCGTATATACGCTCTTAAGAGACGACACATTTCTTAATCTTGCCTCTACGGCGAAGCTGCACTGAATGAAAAGTGGAATATTTAAAGAACCCTTGCCATGCGTCATCAATATGGAGTGGAACTAGCTCACTTCCTGTGATTTTGTGTGACTGTGGTAGCAATAATTTTACAACAACTCTGGTCGTCGTTTTTAAACTTAGCCTCAGACTTTGTTTCTCTGGATTTCCTCAATTTAGTATAATCTTCTCCATATAGTCCCTATTCTGACTCTAATTTAAAGCTGGGTTTAAGCAGTGCCATACTCACACAATACAGCTAAAAAAGTAAGTAGAAACGAGCCACTTCATCGGCACTCACCGTCGGCTTAAGACTTTCGGCAGTTCGTTCAGTTCGTCCATCCGCATAGTGGCCTTTCGAACCGAAAGCGAGTTGTTGCGGGTTCTGCTGTTCCCTCTGTCCATGAGACAAGCTCTGCGTATTTTTCCACTTAATATGTTGTTGCAAGCCCTGCTGGCCCATCTCAGTCTCCACAAGTTGCCTCTTATTCGCTGGATTTAACAAGGTAGGCTGATCATAATGCGATTCTGATAGATCTTCTCGTGACAAAGGCTCGAGTATGTGTTGTCGAGGCGGGTGAAACTTTTGCATCGAGTGGTTGACGCTCGTCCGGCCAACCAAGAAGGTATCGCTACATTCCGCGACTCCGGAGCAACCATTTTCAGCAATATCTTTGTCTGATCCATTGACTGCCGATTCTACCAATCTATCAGTTGAATGCCGACTTGAGGCCGACTGGGCTGCACTTCGATTCTTTGAGCTGGGAGCCGAGGAAGACGCTGATTTTGGTGGTCTGTTTGAGTTTTTACATTGACTGCCGGTAGGAGGGAGCAATGAAGGGTGTTGTCCAGTGGTTCCTGGACCCTCTGAATTTCGACCGTTGGTTGATATGGCTGCAAGGCGGGAGGGAGGTTTGCGATAGTCTGTAGCCCCCGGAATATGATTGCCGGATATTCCCATTCTAGGTACCTGGTTGAACAAACAATAAGAGAGTTGATTATCTGATATCAGGCATCAATTGTTATTCCATAAGTCTTAGGAAGGCATAGTTAAACAAATTTTTAATTACCAGTAATTTTATGAAGAAAAACTGTTTTTCGAAGAATTTCTTAGTGATATATTGTGATGATTTTCCATTACGAAGAAAAGGTTGGTTGGAAAAAATTCGTGATGTGGTCTTGCCGGAAATCGAAGGAGGATTGAAGCGTAAGGAAGACCGTTGAATTGTGAGATAAATCCTCTATTCACCGTTCTGCGAAGCCGATGAACTTGTGTAAGGCTTTCGTCTGTATAGAGACAGACATCATCAGAGCAGGTATCCATACTTCACAACTAGAGCAAAAATATACTAAACCTGTGGTTTACATCTGCAAGTCGCATACTCCTTATTAGCATCGATTTCATAACTCATATTTTTACTCTATTTGAATGGTTATAGAAGAAATTAACGAGGAAATAAACGTGTGTGGCTTGCATATTTACATCTCTACCCCACTTATCACATTGTTTGCTCACTAGTACATCCCAAAAAGGTAATTTCTTCTCCTTTTCTAGTTCCATGGTAAACTTATTATTTGATTCTATTATGTTTATTAGCTCAAAGATTTCCCCCAAACTATGCTTGCAGTGCTGCTAAACAACAAAGTAATCGTCCATGTAACGAACTAAAAACTTGGGAACTAAGAGTGTCTCTTGAAAGACACGAACTTCTAATCTGGCCAGGTAGTTATTAGACATTGCCAAATTGACAAATCTAATGATCGAATACTTGCCTAAATTTTACCAATTATAATTTTAGAGTGCTAATCTAGAGTTAATTATAAAGACTTCATTGCCTGTTTATCGGAATGCTAGTGTGCATAGACACTAAATCGAAACTTACCAGCAAACCTCTTTATATCGTCTGATCAAAAAGTAACTTTATTTGCTAAGTATTGTATAGGCACACTAGCATTCCGGTAAACGAGGCATGCAAGGCTTTATAATAAACTCTAGATCAGCGCCCTGAAATTATAATTGGTAAAATTTAGGCAAGTATTCGATCACTAGATTTGTCGATTTGGCAATGTCTAATAACTACCTGGCCCAATTAGAAGATCGTGTCTTTCAAGAGACACTCTTAGTTCCCAAGTTTTTAGTTCGTTACGTGGGCGATTAATTTGCTGTT